CCGCGCGCGCCCCAGCCCGGCCGCGAGCTCCGCCGCGGCTCTGCGGCCCGGCTGGGCGCCCCGTCCGCCGGTGCGGGCGGTAGCCGCGCGCGGCGCGCACCCGCGCTGTGCTCGGCGGCTTGCAGGCTGGGCTGCACCGGCACCCGCACTCTTCCCCTCCGTTTCAGAAAGKTTTTCCTCCCGCATTCCGCTTCGCTTGCCCTTGCAGTGCTGTGCAATTGCTACGTGCAGGAGGAGCAAGGAGCAGCTAAACTAGTGCTGTGTGTTTAGGCAGGCAGAGCCAGTCAAGTATTTGTCTGAAGCCCAGCTTTGGTTGGATGTAAATGTCAGATCCCGGTTTCTCTGACCCCTTTGCTCCAGACTGTATTTTGCTCCTTTGYTGTTTGGAGGATATAACAATACGGGAGTTGAAGACCTGCGGAASCGACTCCGTGTTGTTTTTCCTGCTGAGCAGTTTGCTTTTGTTCTTGAKCCCGATTTGTGCAAGCACAGCATCACAGATCCCAGGTAAAAAGCGACATCTGCAGCATTCAAAGTGCTAAAAATCAGCACATGCGGGTGTGGAGAGAGGGTTCTCCTAGAGGAGCTCTGCTATGGGGACGGCTGCAGCAAGCCTCACATTGAGCACACACACAGAAAATTCAGATTTGTGTCTACCTAAAGCCCTGAGGGCTACATGTAATAAATGTCCAGTCCCCTAACTTTTCCAAATTAAACTCTAATTACATTCAATGAAAACTTTCCAGCCAGTGGAATTTTCTACAGGAAGATGCAGATTTATCATATTACCTCTTTTCAACTCAAGAGTCTTTCTGGAAAATTACTGAAAAACACCGCCTTCAGTTGTACTTGTTCCTTTCCCAGGGTAGGAGGTGATCTGCAACCTGCAGCATTCACTGGTTTTAGCTCAGCTCCACCAGGGCATCTGCTCGTTTCTCCTTTGAAGGCTACGCATCAAATCCGGGCTGAGATGATGCCCACTGCTGCAGTGTYGCAGCTGGCTGGAAGATACCGTTGGTCACAGTGGGATGGCTGCTTTCACCACCTGCCCTTTGGGGATTAATGGATTTTTGGCCTGTTTTTCAGGTTCTAAAAGGGGTCGCACGTTCATGACTTGTTCGGTAACCAGAAGGAAAAGCACTGGGGCTGTTTTGTGCAGCTCTCCAGCAGAAGAGCACAAGCATTTTAAAAACTCTTATGTTAATAGGAGCAAAAACAAGCTGCCTCAGAGAGCCTTTGAGCATCCACCCATAAAAAAGCTACATAAACGGTAACTATTATTAACTTTCCACTCGGCCTGCTTTTAGCTTACCTTTTATTACCCTAATTGCTCCCACGTGGGCCCATTTCCAGCCTAATTCCTTTCCAGCTCCATGGAACCAGCTCCACGGTTCAGTTAGAACTAAGTTGGGGTGGTAGAAAACRAAAGAATCTTCAGAGAAGCTACATGTGATTTAATCACTTCTGTATCTTGTAAGATGAAGTCTGTCAACAAGAGAAGTGTGAAAACACTGCGAGAAATAATGTAGCACCAATCCTATTTTTACAGGGATTAAAACTTTATAATCCAGCCTTAAACTGAGCATGAAGCCAATCAAGATTCCCTGCAAGGTGCCCGAGTTAGTGGCTGACACAGGTCTCTGCTTCTGCTCTGCTCAAGAAAATACAGCTGTAACGTGGCCCTGTCCTGTAGGCAGCAGTGAGTTGGTGAGAGAGGCCGTTGGGAACAGACGGGTGGCAGACGAGGCACTGGGAAGCAAGAGACTGCAGCCAGTGACAGTCCTAGCTAGCGGTGAATTAAGACAAAYGTTAATTCAATACTTACACATCAGAGCTTCCTGATGAGGATTTTTTATGCTGCAGGATCAGGGAASAGCTTTAGTGTGATAATAATGGCACGATGCCACCAGTGACATTTTGGTGGCAGCGGGAGGCTGGCTCTCTCTGTGCTGACAGGTGGCCACAGTCTTTGSGCTACTATCAAGAGCAATGGGGAAAAGTAAAACAGAAGAGTGTGCAGGGAAACCACGAGCTCAGCAGACACAGCAGGACCCCGCGTTTCCGCAGTTCTCACTGTAAAAGACCCGAAAGGTTTCGTCAGCTAAGCCAGGCAGAGTCAAAGTGCCAAAGCCTGCTCTGGCCTTGCATATGAGCATTTATATACAGTACAAATACATGTTTACATTCTGTGTATAGAAGTGACATAAAAGCTGTTTTAGCAAACTAAGCMATTCATTCTTTCCTTTCTGACCCCACATGCAGCAGAAAACAAGGTCTCTTCCTTTCTCTGTCCTGCAGCTAACAGAAAACTTGGCCTGCAGCACAGGAAAGACTTGCAGGAATCAGCTAGGTGCCTTTCACTCCTTTCCGATGACTTTTTGTTGTTGTTTACGCTAAAAGGATGAGGCCCAGGGCTCAATCCGGGTTGTTTTTCCCTCTTTCCCGCCGCGAGAGGAGCTCCTGGGGACGCCGCACAGAGCAGGGACGGCGCGGGAGCCGCTGCSCACACCGCAGCCCAGTACCCGCCGGCGCCCCGCAGCCCCCGGGGCCCCGCTCCCGCAGCGGCGCCRCCAAGGGAGCCGCTCTGACCCCTCACAGACACCGCTTAGGAGGCCGGGCAAATATTTTTAAAAGCGAACAAGGACGCCTCATGAAGGCACGGAGAGAACTTTCCAAGAAGTGGGACTAGTCGGGAAATGGCCTGAACACCAGCTCGGAATGAACACTGGACATTGGAGGAGGTGGACGCCTGACTTGGTGTTTCAAACTGTAATGCCTATGTCAAACCATCAGACCAAACTTAACACAAATGTTTTAAAAGCAAATCCATGCTACTCCCCTCTACTACTTTTACAACTATTTACTGGTTGTAGTTAGCTTACAGGTGACTTAGTTTTATCTCTAAAAGGTGATATATATCAGAGCCCGCTGTTCCTGTTTAACACATCTCAAGGACTTCAGGTCACATTTGTTCAGTTCATAGGCAAAATCATGCTTTTTCTAACTAATATTTTTGTACCGATTCAACACAGGCTCCAGAAAGCTTTCTCTGTGCTTCTAGCTGTTGCTACAAGCCACAGCTTTAATGAGACTTCAACTTTTGAATCCTATTAGCAATTCTGAACAAGCTAGACTGAAATCTCACCTACTCGGGCTATTCAATACACATACAAAAATATTATTTTTGTAACTGCAGAAAATACCTAGAAGCTTGCCAGGAGACTGCTTCCATTAGAAACTGCCGTTTGGGCAATGTGTGCAATGGCCCTGGTTCAGCTAAACCTAGCAGCAGAGACTAAAACCAAGAGCTCTTCAGGGCCACTGTGAGAGCTTTGCTGACCTGCAGCCCTCACCGGGACCAAGGTCACAGGCAAYGTTTAAAGGCCGGGGAGGGAAGGAAAACTCTCCACGTGTCTTAAGTAAATTCAGGCTTTGGCTGCAGAACTTCCAGTCTTATACCCTGAACCACTGTTATTTCTCATGGAAGTTTGAGACTCCTGTTTTACATACGGCAGAAAGCCGGTCTTTGTGATGCAGTTTGCAGTGAGTCGAGTGACTTGTGCAGGTTTATGCACAAGTCAAACTACTCCATCACTGTTTACTACTGGATATATCAACTATAAAATACACCGTTACTCCAAACTCACAGTTTTAATATATGGTACCATATATCTAAAGTATTTCATAAATATTTTATCAAAAACAGTACAAATTACCATGGCTTTTTTTTTGGATATTTTTCTGCTAAAACTTTTAAAAGAAAAAAAAAAATCAGAGTGGACTGTACATTATTCTGGAAGCAAATCCTCTCCTAGTTCTTCATCAGCAAATTCATCTTCCTCAGTTCTCTTTCTTGCTGCAGTCTTTGGTCTTTCTGCCTGTGGGCCGAGCGGATCTATGTAGGAGGCATCTAGGATTTGAACAAATACATTTGAAAGTTACCTACAAGTAATTGTAGCTGTTTCTAGTAGATACAATTAATACATTAAGAATGCTTTTAATATGACTCATCTGTAAGGTACCTTATGGAATGAATGAAAGATTTGGAATTTTCTGAAACACGGACTAAAGAGAGGATTAGAGCAGTGCAGGAGACCCACATCCCACCTTTGCAAGGGAACACACGGCAGGACAGCAGTACCATCTGAGTGCCAGTGACAGATGCTTCTTTTATAAATTCACCTTTTTTTATTCCAGTCATTAAGTTTTGGGAAAGGAGCCTCCAGAATTCTGCATGGAATGGGGAGACTGCTGAGCCGATCAAGGAAGGGCATTCCGGGAAGTAACACATTCCATAGGGATTTGGGGGTTTTAAATCCCTTCCACTCCTTTGAAAACTCCACCTTAGTGAAGAACTTACAATTGTAAAACCACAGGAGCTGTCTAAGGATGCAGTGTACACGTGTGCACTGCACAAGTGCAAATATAAGTGTACAAATATACACATATTTAAATACATATATATTTATTTCATATGGTCCATTTCTTCTAATACTTTATAGCAAGCTATGAACAGGGAAGCTAAGGCCATTCTTGGTGTTTATTTCACAAGGGGAACCCTACATGCTTCTGGGGAGCTTATATTTCTGGTTCCCCCTCTGTGAGGGCCAGGAGGGTGGGAAGTGCAAGGTGAGCTGCCCACTTGCCTATTTCTTTACTGCTGCTGCTTTCGTAGGGTTCACTCGTGCCAGGCAGACCTCGTAACTTGGCGCTCAGTCTTTCCCCTTTGTTAGAGCCACTGTCTGCAAGGAAGGAAAAGAAATGTTGAAAAACAGTTAAYGTGGGTCACGTTCTGCGAGACCATGGAACAGGAACAGCGACGGGAATTCAGCCACTATCTGTGAAATAAGATTCAGGTGACACAATCTGTTCACAACTGGCACAGTACTCGGTTGTCACTGTAGTTGCTGGCACAATGGACGCTGTGTATTTAAGTTTTTWAAATATACAGTCTTACCTTAGGGTAAACATTTTGCATGAAAATATTTCGCTTTCAAATGCTGATGCTTTATTTGCTTGCAAGGGACAAACGGTCCCGTTTGGGAGCTAAAATGACCGTGAACAAACGCAGGCGCCGCCGCAGCTGCATGCGAGTGTGCTGGTAAATGAGCACATCCCACCTGCGAAATGCTGCCCAGGCCCTGCTCCAGCTCCTGCTCCTGCTCCAGCCCCGGCTTCAGCCCCAGCTCCACGTTGGCACGTGCTGCCTGTGAGGTGGCACGAGTGACTGCTGCCCGGCCTGCCTGGCCCGGTCTGCCCCTCGCTCCCTGGGAACRTCTCCCCGACAGTTCCTCTGCAGCAGGGAACGTCTCCCCGACAGTTCCTCTGCAGCAGGGAATGTCACCCTGGCAGCTCCTCTGCAGCTGGGCCCCTCGGAATGCGGCGGCTCCGAGCGCTGCCCCGTGCCCAGACGACGTGGGATTAGCCCTCCCTTGCCAAAGCAGGGCTCCAGACGCTCTAAGTATTCTGGTAACCTCTGGATCTCTTTTTCACGTTCCTGGCACGTTTTCAGTCTTGTCTGCTACACTAAATTTTTATTCTTTTCTTTCTTTTCTCCTAGGAGAAACTGTTTTGTGTTTGGCTTGGTACATTGAGGGGGCAGAACCTGCCAGGCAGCCAAATACAGACACGCTCACTGACAACACGGAACACGGCTGTTATTAAAAGCCCTCCATCTGGGAGGCAGAAAAACAGGCTTAATTCTCCAAACGCTAATTACAAACACTGGTCTTGGCAATGCACTCCCATTGTTTTATTTACTACATGTTGTGTTTATAAATATTGTTACTATTTTTTACAAATGTGTTCTTCCATAAGGATGACAAGCCTTTCTTTTCCTCCGGATACCAGCCTGCAGTTTATTCAGCCTTGCAATAGAAGACAACGTTCCTGCTCTGAAAAAGATCTGCAACCTACAACTATTTATRCCCAACAGTTAAGAGCTATATACAGTTTACTAGAAAGAGGTTATGTTTGAACCTTCAAAGCCAGGGCAAGTTGTTTTGATGTCCATCTACCTCTGGTCAATTCTCAGTGAAGGGCTCCATGGAAGAAGGGAACAATGGGGGAGGGATGTAAAAAAATTGAAAGAAATCAATGAGTTTGATTGGGGGCCTCAGCAAAATTACAGAGGAGCCTCCTCTTGATTTCAGTGGGCCTTGGACATGGGGCCAAGTATCAAAGGGCAGATCTGGAGCGTCAAGATGCTACAGATGGAAACATGCTGAGAGTCAGGAAGACAGACACTGACTGGAGATGAGAGTAGGCCTTATGAAAGGGAAAACAGGTAATCTACAATATGCTAAGGATGCAAGGAGGAGTGGTGAAGAGATGGGAAGAAAGAAAGGATCTATCAGGAATCACAAGAAGACTTAACTAGTTTCTAAAATTGGCTGATTCCAGAAAGCAGGAATTTGGTGGAGTGAAAATAGATTATGAAGATGGCACACAGATTCGTGAAGGAGGAAGACATGTGGGTTTTACTGACATTACCTGAAGAAGCAAAAGGATCTGTTAGATGAAAAAGAAAAATCAGGACAGACCTGACCAGCCAGAGTTTAGGACCAACTCAAATGGCTGGGAGAAGCCTAATACTCACAAACCATCCAAACATCTTGTTGCCCTAAATCAAACAATTTAGAACAGAAGCTTTCTTGGACATCCTAAGATCCTTTCCCTCTTATGGCTACATCCAGGAAGAGAACGAAGCAGTAAATTTGAAAAYGGGAATAAAGTTTTCCACCCCCTTTCACTTGCAATGGATACGCTCAGTGCCTAAACCCCAGCGACTGCCTCCCCAGAGAGCCTCGAAGAGCCCTGCACCCCCATTGACTCCCTACACACTGGAGCAGCACCCCCGGGGCAGCGAATCCCTGCGGGCTGCTCAGCACAGACCTGGCCTCCAAACTCCCTTCCAGTTGGYGACCTGGCCTCCMAACTCCCTTCCGGCTGATGAACCAGTACAGAGGGATCACGAGTGTGATCCCAAGGTGAACAAATGTACACGTTCACACAGATGCCGCTTTTTAGGGTCAAGGATTTGAATCAATTGCCCCAACACGTTAGTTYTCTGTCAATTTAATGAACTGAACGAGCTAGGAACAGCACAAGGGAAGCRGCAGGAATGTGTGGCCAGGAGTGGGAAAGAAAGTTAATGTGGGGGAGAATGTGGCTGTTGCCTTCAGGGACAGGAGAAAAGACAGTGATAGATGGAGGGAGAAAGAGCACAAATAGGAAGAGAAAAATCAGAAGAAATGAA